TTTTAAAATTTTAAAAGAAAAAAATCTGGGCATGGTGGTAGCTCATGCCAGTAATCCCAGCACTTTGGGAGTCCAGGGCAGGAGGATCGTTTGAGCCCAGGAGTTCAAGACCAGCCTGTGCAACACAGCGAGACCCCATTTCTACAAAAAATTAAAAAATTAGCTGTGTGTGGTGGTATGCGCCTGTAGTCCCAGCTACTCGGGAGGCTGAGGCAGGAGGATAGGGTGAGCCGAGGAGTTTGAGCTTACAGTGAGCTATGATCATGCCACTGTACTCTAGTCTGGGCAACAGAGCGAGACCCTATCTCTTAAGGGAAAAAAAAAAGTCTAAAGAGAAAAAGATTCAACGTACAGAAAAGGTGGCGTGTGATGTTTGGGCAACACTGACTTAGGCCACCACTTTCTAACTGAGGACATCAGGAAGGGATTGATTTGCCCACATCCCAGGTGATCTGGTGTCAGGAAAGGGCCGGGACCCTCCTACCGTGTGGGGACAGTGGCAGGAGGCAGCATGGTTTGGGGTTTATAAGGTCCCCAGAGGAACCCAGGGGCAGGGACTTGAAGCAGGTGACTTCTGCTGGGGTTTGGGAGCAGGGAGGGCGTGAAGGGGAGGGAGGGAAAAACATTTCCTCTTCGTACAATGGCTAAGACAGTCACTCCCCGGAAGGCTGCTGTGAGTGAGCACTGCGGGCGTGCAGCAAAGGGCAGTTTTCCTTCCCTGAAAGGCTCCCATGAAAAACACACAACCTTGCTAACAAATAAAAACAGACAAAAGCTGTCTCTCTGCTCAATCCCAGCTCTGAAGAACTTGTGGGTGGAGGGGCAAGAACTGGCAAAGAAAGGAGGACTATAAAAGCTTAATTTTGGCGGGGGCGGGGGGGTGGTGGTGGTGGGAGGATTGTGGTTGAATCTTTTTTCTCTTTTTTAAAATTGCTATTTGTAATTGGTACGAGGCTTAGGCTATAAATAATAATGATAAAAATTATCCTTAAAAAGTCAGGCAGATCAGAACATTTGGGTATGCTTGCATTAATACACACATTCCACATTAGTATTGTTTTTTTCTTAACTTACAATATAACGCCTCATCTCCATGGCTTTTCAAGATGTGCTGAGATAAACAAGGACTTGAGGATCACTAATTGCATTAACCTCGAGGCCAATTTTCCCCTCGTAAGGAAACGGGACCCCTGCTGCCGTCTCACCCTGTCACCCCACTCCATCGTCACAGGCCCCGTAGGGCAGGCAGAATGATGCCCTGAGAGGAAGAGGAGGCACATGGAGGTGGCGTCCACCCTGCACGTTGGCACCGGGGCACTGGCAGGCAACAGCTTCAAACACCCCTCCCCCTCATGCAAGGGCAAGCAGCACCCCCCCCCGCCCACCACCACGCAGCCCCCGAGAGTCACCAAGCCATGCTCAGGGACATGGAAGAAGGAAGGAGAGACCATTCAAAGGGAGCAGAGAAGAAAAAGCTCTCGGTGAAGCCAGAGCTCGGGCCCTCTTCCCGCTGGCATTCATCGTCAGAGGAGTCTTCGGAGAGGAAGACCGCATAGTGTCTCAGGGGCTTTACCAGGCTGGGGCCGAGGAAGACAAAAGAGAAGAGAATAGGCAGTTAGGAGCGCCGTCGGAACTCCGCGTGAGGGTGGAAGGAGGGCTCTGGGCTCCGTGCCCGGCCCTGGCCTCCCTCTGCCAGCCCGTGGTGGGGGCTCCTGGGAGAAGGCCTCAGGGGGCCCAAGGTTAGGAAGCCGGTCCCAGATGGAAAAGAAACCGTGGGTTTGCCATGTCTGCCAAGAGCCTTAAACTCATGATCCGTCATCTCTGACCTAGTAATCACACTTCCATTTGGATAACTCTAAGAATTATGCCCAAAGATGTTCATTACTGCTGTTTATAACATTAAAACATGAAGCCACCCATCTTCAGCAACAGGAATCTGTGCAGTGGTGAATGTTGTCTTCCCAGTGACAAAACGTTTGTAAAGAGTCAGGGTGCGGAACTGCAGTTGCACTGCACTCTCTCCTCTACTCACGGGAAATGCATAGAAAAAAGACAGGAAAGGCACGTGCCTAAATGTCAGTAACAGCTGGCGCGGTCGGGGGTGATTTGCATGTCTTATACATTTCCTGCAATGAGCACATCTACTTCAATAGTCAGGAAAGAATAAAAAATAAAAAAAAAGTTGAAGAAAAAAGTGAGCCATGTGGAAGAGCATGGCGAGAAGGCCCTTTTCTGATTAGCGGCTGCTCTCTGGAGTTTCCCTCAGATGCCTCTTCAGAGAGTCTTTTTCATCTGTGATGTGGAAATTAAATATTCATCGTTATAAAAAATGCATCTCCCTTGTCAGCCACCTGTGAGCTCTACCTCTATAAACACAAACACGTACACAGGCCAGAGCAACTCCACGCCGGCCTCCTATGAATTATGTACCGACCAGGGCCTGTGAGGGGCCATGTGCTCAGGAGAGAGGAGCTGGACTGGGCAGACCTGGGTTCAAATCCTGGCTCATGTGCCAGGGAGCAGGCGCTCCACACCCCTGCCCCGTTCACGGGCTCGGCTTGCTCTGAGACGATGGTGACGTTGGGGAGAGGGTGGGGTGGGAGACGCCGGGTGCCTGAGAGGGGCTCTCCTCTCTCCTCTCCCCCAGCCAGAGCAGTCTCCTATCTTTGCTTTATATGGCGGGAATTCCTTTAAGGTTTTATTTCAGGAAAGGGCAATGTAGTCAAGAAAAGGACATGAGAACCGCAGCTGGAGGGTCAATGAGGGACAGCCGCTGCCCCCTGGGATGAGGCGAGTGGGTTGTGACTGGGCTCTGCTACCATCCACCATGGCTGCTGCTGAGCCAGTTGTACCCAGAACTAGCTCCCTGCACGCTCACCCCAGAACCTTCACTTCCGCGCACTGTCCTCAGAGTCTGGCCAGGTGAAGAGAAGCCACTAGCCC